CATGTATTTTGATGTTCACTCATGACCATCTTACTTGGGCGTGCAACCATGATTCTGCTCGAACCAACCCCTGCTGCTCATGCATACGTTACTAATCATGGATGGCGAGTAAGTTGCATGCAATACTTCCTTGCACCCGTGGTTGCGCCCAAATATATTTGAAGATCGAAGGCAATGCCCATTTCGCAGTTGTCGATTCTTACCAAGCACGGACGAGTCCATTCTAGCAAAATGCACATCGAATGGATACCTCCAACCATCAAAGCCAAAAAAAGCAACAGCTCAAAAAGAAAAAGACAAGCCAGGTTACCTTCCATCCCATGGCTAATCCATCGAAATACTGTGGATGGACGAATTCCTGCAACACCTACGAAACCCATGAATGATGATTACCCTGTAAAGTTTCAGCGTGGTGCGAAATGGATCTGTCCATCCACAGTATGGCTCAAAAAAGCAACAGCTCCATAAGAAAAAGAAGCCAAGTTACCTTCCATCTATGGCTAATCCATCGAACTATGGCTCGCTCCATCTATGGCTGTGGGTCAAAACCTTGCACCCCTAATAAACATCAAAATAGCTGGCAAACGGGGATGTTCATCCACCCCAAAATGGGATCGCCGTAGGCTATGCCTGGCGCCCCATGGCTCCGTGGCTCCTGCTGCGCCAGCTGCACTTCCAGCGCCTCGCGCTCCGCGCGGCGCTGGGCCTCCGCCGCCTGGTGGGGGAGGTGAAACGCGTGGGTGGTGAAGATAGGCCGATAGGTATCCGAAATGAAATGACCCAGGTAAAATGGTGCCATGACACAGGTAAAACCCATAGGTGGTCATTTTGATAGGTAAAATGGCTTGACCTAAATGATAAGCAAAATGGCTTGGCCTGGTAAGTGATAAGCAAAATGGCTTGCCCTGGAAAATGGAAAGGACTAGAACCTGTGGTCCGACTCCTGGTGGTTACACATGGGGGGGGAGAAACACAGTTTTTTAGGCAAACAAAGGCAAAAGAGAACAAAACAGCGGGGGGCCACAGAAAAGGAGAAAAGCATAAAAATGATATCATGGGTCAATCATGGCATTTTTTTTACAAAGGCACGCACCCGCGATCTGGAAGGGCTGCTAGGAAACATAGCCACACCACATACTGGTGATCCCCACGCTTCCAAAGGGGAAGTGATTCCTAATTTGAGCACCAGGGTGCTGCGGGGGATGCTACTGGGAGGAGGCGCAGGTGCAGAAAGCTCGCCTAAAGTTGAGGAGAGATTTCTAGTCACTTCTTTGTTCACCTATTCAAGAACTTCTGCACCAGTGTCTTTTGGTGAACTCTACCCTTCCAACATTCATGGAACTGGGTTCGGGGGGCGTCCGGCTTCCCCAAGAATGAAATCGTCTTCCAACACCTTCCGATCCTATCCAGCAGGCCAGCTAGATCACCAGCCATTCATTAATCATAGCCATCCATACATCCATCCATCCACGCACCAACCGGTGTTGTTGGTTCTGCACTGTTTAGGACCTGCCCTCAAAAGAGTTTGGGATAGTCTGGGTAATTCATTTGAGGATTTGTTTGAAAGGCTTTCCAAGCTCAACGCTGCTCAGCAGCCTCCATTTCAATTGCTCTCTCTGAAGAATGGAGGAACAACAACCAGATGGGTGGGTGACCATTTCCGCTGTCCTCCGCTTGTCGACGCTCCTCCTGTTCCCTTGCTCGCCGCCTTGCCTCCTCCCGGTGGCAAAGATTCAGGGGACAAATGATTCTGCCTCAACGTGAGCTCCTTTGTTTTGTGATTGGTTGCAGTGGAACAGAACACATTGACGTAGCTCCCGTGCAAGGGAACTGCTCGAACCCGCGAAGAGCAAACGACGATAGATATTAATGCAGGCCGTCCTCTTCAGCTTGAACTTGCGCTGCGCGCTCTTGCCCTTGTGGGCGAGCATGATGACACCAGAGAACCACAGGCGCACACGTGCTAGCGGCTGCAACAAAGCATGGCCCATGCACTCCCCGAGACAGTGAGAGGCGCGCCTTCGCGGAAAGTGACCAAGTCATTCTTCACCTAAGGCATGGCTCAGGAGTCACAAGGAGAATGAGACAGCGGAATTCGGAATGCCCCGGAAGGCTCCAAGCGCCTCTGCGTAGTGATCCGCTTCTGTGGTCTCAACTCGTGCGACCTCGATGGCCGACATCCGTCCGCTCCGAACACGAGCTGGGATTCAGCGAGGCCGGGGATGTTCAAGGGGTTGCTCTCGCGTCCCAAGCCTTGCCCTCCAAGGATTCCAAGCGCTCGTGGACCTGGCCGTGAGTCAAAACCTGGGGTGGGTGTATTGAAAGAATTTTGTTTGGGCAAACTCGTTGGAATCTAGCAAATGTCCGGAAAGATAAGACACTTAGCAAACTCCTGCCCTTGAACAAATCTTGGACCGGGCATGTCCTTGCCTGTTTCTCCAGCAAAGTGAGACGCGCAGCCTGGCTGGAGAGCTGAGCCTGAGCTGCCAGGACTCCGAAATCGGCCATCCTCGCTTTTAGGGGTTGTCTTGAAAGCTCAAAAAGTTGCAAACCAAAGGGGGATCTCGCAATTGGATGCATTCAACATTTGAGTTGGATCTTTTTGCTTTCGGGTTCAGGTCCCCAGACCCCAGGTCGACTCACAGCTCCCAGCTCGCCTCTTGCTCCCTCAGCTGTCGTGTGGCCTCCTCCAAGGCCTCACAGGGCTTGATCTTTCGAGAGGAAAACTATGCCGACTTGGAGCTGACTGCGGTCAAATGACCAAAACTGTGGGTGCTGACTTGGAGAAGCTACGGGATGATTCACAAGGGGCTGGAAGCAAACCAGTTGTGCTTGGAAGGTTTTCTCACTCATCACCAGGCCTTTGTCTGCTCCCGAACTGCCTCCAGCTGTGACTGAAGATCTGGGACCAACGTCTTCACCTGGCGATGGATAGCATCTGCATAGCCATTCGGCCACCCAAGCCACCGGTGGATTGCAGGTCTGTGGGAAAAGTGGGGACCCCGGGGATGGATTGGAAAGGAAACCGAAAGGAACCCCAAAGAAAACTCAGAGGAAACCCACAGGAAGGCAACAGCTCAAGGTTTTGACAACGCCGCAGGACAGCAGTTAAACGCAGCAGGCTGTTCTAGGCTTGCAACGGCGGCATAACATGGCTGTCAGATTTGTTTTTGCCTATGGGCATCGCCAGAGGCCCAGTGACAATGCCCAAATCAAACCAAATACTCCCGCCCAGGGGGGAACCCAATGGGGGGTGGTGGCCTCAAGGAGAGTCTGGTTCCCCACGCCTCTTGGAAGCCTTGCTCCAACAAGCTCAAGCGCTGCAAGGCCACAGCGATCTGCTCATCCTGCTTGCGTGGCTCACTGCCCGAGCGCAGCATGCGACGGGATGCAAAACGAATTAGACCCTTGCAGGTGCAAACAGCGGGCGCTGTACAACAGATCTTTTTTTCTTATCTTTTTCCCAAAGGGTTCTGAACTTGCTCTGGGTTGTGGCACGGTCGAAAGAAAGCTTGGCCTGCTCGCCCTGGGACACATCGACTTTGGCCTGGCCAATGGAACCGCGGCCACTTGCACCCTACCCCCAGCTGAATCGCAGCATTCGTGCACACGCAACACTCGTACATGGGAACTGCCTGCTCCTCTGCCAAGTTCTGAAGGACTTCCTGGCGTTTCGGGCTTGGGAGGCTAGCAACTCTTGGCAAATGGCGCACCAGCTGTTAAAGCGGCGCACGAATCAACATCAGAACCTCATCTGGCTCAAGCAACCTTTCTGCCTGCAGCTTGGTCAGCCCAAGCAGCTCGGACATGTCGCCAATCCTCAAAGAGATGCGAGCAATCCGCCGCTCAGGGCATGGCAAACCCAAAACCGGATGGAATGTCGTTCTTGAGGCTTACTGTGCAGCGCCCTTGTCACTTCTTGAAACCTTTGAGCAACCAAAGGCAGGCAAGCGCGAGACACGCCCTCGCTGAGCAAGGCGCTTGCTGGCACCATTCCCGTTCGCCGCCATCCGATAGGCAGGCACCTGTGCTTCGAACGAGACCCTTGGCTTTGCCATGGCTGAATTCGAAGGAATATTTTGCTTAGGGACCCCTCCGTTCTCCAACATGATAGCATGATGCATCTCCGAGCCCTCTCTACATCCTGTTACTTGGCTGAATGAGTCAGCCTCGTTCCATCCTTCAATACCTGGAGGTGCTGGTCGATGGTAGGATGGCTATCTGCTATACTGAGCCTATTCCGCTTGAATAATCTGAGGAACAAAGGTTCCGAATAGTTCAAACTGACGCAGGCAGCAGGGATTCTTCGCAGCATTCTGCAAATCTTCAGCCGGCCTTGCCAGCTCCTTGATATGCCGTGCGCCAATCCAATCAGCCTACTCCACGATTTCTTGAGCCAAATGCACGGGGGAACACTCGGTCTGGAACATGATCGGGCCGTGACTGCGCCAGCTATTGCCCATATGGGTGTCTTATTCAGGTTGGTGTGAAAAAGGACTGGACATCCACCATTTGGGGGTCCCCCGAATTTTTGACACCTGCTGCGCATCACATGCACCCAACACGCGCTGTCTCTTTCAGCACACTGCCCGGCGTGCAACCCCTCACAACAATTGCAACCTGAGGCAGTTGGCATTCGGCTTGTGACGTTTGACACCCCCTCGGTGTGGCAACTTCCCGGGTGCAACAATGGCCTAAGATGCAAAAGCATGTAAACTTACCAATCCAGCAGGTGCAGAAGCTGCGCAAGTTGCAAAGCTTGCTGCTTTCTTTTTCTCTGTGATTCAATTCGCATGTTTCGCCTATGCCGTCACTGTGCAGCTCAGACGCTTAGTGGCACACAGGAAACATACGTTACGCAGTCACTCCTGAACGAGGCATGTGGCTTGTCCTGCGAGGGCCCCAAATACCTGAAGACGAAAGTCTTGCAAGCGATCTTGCCATCCTGCCACGCGCGCCATTCACACCGATTCAAAATTAAGACAAGGCTCGCCCAACCTCTAGCCATTCCGCCGTGAGTCTGACCGCAAGTCTGAAAGGAAGTCGTTCCCCTCTGGATTTCCGTCACCATAGCCTGAGGACTGCGTGCTGCCTCCCATGTCTCCCGGCATGGCTTGAAAGGGAGGGCGTTGCCTTTGCCTCCCTCCTGTCTTACCAACACCAAACACAAAACATGGCGCTGTTTCCTTTCTTTTTTGCATAAGTCGGACTAAGTCGGCCAGCGACACTTTGTGGAATGCAAGCCATGGGCCACTAAGGTCGGAACTGTGCGAGCCAATGGGGCCAAACATGCCGAAAGGTGATGAAAAGAGGGACGAGGTCGCTGGAGGCTCGCTGAACATGCCCATGCGATCCAAAGGCTCCAGGCTGGGGTAGTACTCCTGGTCCATGGGAACGCTGGAGGTAGGGCGCTGTGGAAGCATGGGCTGTGAGGCGATGCCGGGAGGAAGGCCGATGGCGCCCAAGCCCCCGAAGTCAAGCCCCGTGGCGAAGAAGCTGTCGGTCAAGCCTTGGACAGCTGACACGGCGGCTGCCTCTGCAGGAGCCAGGCTGGGATCCGGGTAGGGCTTGGCAATGCCCGGGGGTGGCAGCACCGGCCCGGGCCCAGGCTGTGGTGACAGGCCAGGGGCTGGCCCTGTCAGCAGCAAGCCCAGGTCAATGCCAGGAGGGCCCCGCATGTCTGGAAGCCCTAGCATCCCCGGCATGGATGGACTAATTGCCTTTGGCTTGCTTGCCTTGCCGGGTGCTGGCGGTGGTGGGATGGACGGCGGAGGTGGGAGGGCCATTGCTATCTCTTCGGCCGGCACGGCTTGCCCGGGTTGCACAGGTTGCCCCATGAACTCGGTGCGTGGACTCTTGTCCACCCAAACGGAGTTCAATGGGACAGCAGGCTGAGATTGCAACTGCGTAGGTGGCTGCGCAGGCGGAAGGGTTGGTGGCTGCAAAGGGGGTTGTGCTGGAGTCTGTGCGGGGACCTTCTTCTCTGGTGGTGGTGCTGGTGCGGAAGGTGGATGGGATGGGGGAATCTTGGCAACAGCTGGGCTTTTCTCAGGCTCCGGTCGCTTGGCTTTTGGTTGCTCCTTCTTCTTGGGGCCATCCTCAGGGCGCTTCTCTTTCTTGGCCTCCTCTTGCTTCCGCTCTTTGGGCTCTTCCTGCTTTCTCTCCTCATGCCGACTGGCTTGGCCTTGGCCAGATTGGCTGGCTTGCCCTTTGGCGTGGGGCGATTCCATCTCGCGCTCCTTCTTTTTCTTATCTTCCTTGGGGGTTGACTGAGATGGGCGCCTCTCTGCGGCCTGAGTCGGGGACGGCGCCTTGGCAGGAGCTGCTCCTTTGGGTGCGCTAGGAGGTGCCTTGGCCTCTTGCTCTTTTTGGGCTTTAACATCTCTTGGCGGCTTCGCAGGCTGCTTGGCAGCCGGCTGACCTTTCGGAAGCTGCGGCTGAGGCTGGGTCTTGGGCTGCGCTTTGGCGGTGGCCGTTGCTTTGGGAGCTGCCTCTGGAACTTTTGTCTGCTGCAAGTGCTGCTGCAGATGTTGCTGCTGCAGTTGCTGCAAATGTTGCAGCTGCTGCAGCTGCTGCTGCAGCTGTTGCTGCTGCTCCTTCAGCTGATCTTGCTGTGAGGCTTCCCGCGCACCACCACTTGGTTGGCTCTGCGCCTGTGCCTGTTGCACCTGTGCAGGTGCAGGTTGCGCAGGTGGCGCGGATGCAGTCGGCTGTGACGGCCTCAGCGACGCATATCCCACGAATATATTCAGCTTATATTGCCAACGCAAAACCTGGGTGTGACTCAAAATTGAGGACCCTGAGAATGGCTGGCATTCTGCTGCTTTTCCTTTGCCCAACTCCCACTCGGCAGCTAAGACAGCAACTGAGCAGGCTCCTCTTGCGCGTGTGTGCTTTGGCGCTGTACCACCTCCTTTTCCTGAAGGCAGCAGCTTTGGCAGCCACTATTCTCGCGTCCAACATTCAGGCCTGCACCCCGGCCAGGGTGTCTATGCTGGTCCAAGAGAGCCTGACAGCCGGGATCACTCATGGAGACTATCGCCGCGCTTGACGCCATTCAGCATCATCTGATGCAATGTTGCGATGCGTCGACTAGCGAAAAAAAGAGCCCGCGCAGCCAGTTGCTCCCGTTGCCGAGTTGCATGGAAACTACCGCGCCGATTCTTGCGGCAGTAGCTCCATAAGCATCTGGTGCTGAACCATTGCTGAACCTTGATCGAAACAAAGTCTGCCTCTTCAAATTGCTTTTGTGTTGATTCTCAAGACAAGGCAATAGGGTGTTCTTTCCTGCGCCGCCAGGTCTGCCAAGGAGCAGTTTGCCCGTAAGCTGTCCTGACCCCAAGTACAAGCTCAACAACCGAGAGCTTCTGCAAACCACATGGCACAAACTATCCCATCCCGTCTGCTTTTGCTGGCTCCCCTTTTTGAAGTTGTGCATGCCGATGTTTCTTCAGGAGCCAGTATCAAAGAAAGGTCTAAAGTTTAGAAGGAACTTTGCATGGCACGGACACTAATTGAGAACTGGCTCCCTGACGAAAAGCCAAGAGAAGAATAAACAGGAACCAGAAAAACTGCGGGGGAATAGAATTTGCCCACAAAGCGCGTGTGTTTCGCAACATTGTTTTGCGAGGCAGGCGCGGCACTGTCGCAAGGGGCGCAGCACTTTCGCAAGGTGAGGTGCAGATTCCATGGCAGGCGCTGTACTTTCGCAGGGTCAGGTACTCTCATGGCAGGCGCAGCGCTTTCAAAAGGTCATGCCCGGATTTCGTGACAGGCGCCATTACTTTCAGAAGGCCAGGTGCAGAGTTTGCGGCAAACGCAGCATTTCCAGCCCTTCTCTTATTTCGTCCTGTCTTATCTGATATCTGTCTGTCTAGCTGACTGTCTACTTGTCTGACTGCAGGAACTATATCTTCACATCTCCACAATCTACTTTCGTAGCCAATTACAAGTATAATTGCCCGGCGACCTGGTGCTGCAAAAGAGAAATAGAGAGAGAGAGAGAGAAGGAACATGTTTCCGGGAGAAACAAAAAGAAGAAAAAAGAAAAACAACTGCCGCCCACCGGCTTCGCCAGCCCTACTCCATGTGAAATTAATCAACCATCATCAGCCCAACTGACGGGTTCAGTCCTGACACAGGCTTCTTCCAAGCGCGGAAGCTGTCAACCGCAACCACCGCCTTACACGCCATCCCAGTTGCACGTTTTCTAATGCCATCACCGGCCGGATTCCAATCTTCTGCTGTGTGTTAAATGCAGGCGGAGCTTCCAGCATCATTAGCAGCACGGTGAATGCCGTGCCAACCACGGCTTTTCGCAGAGACGCCTCCGTCTGATCACCTAGTATCTGAAGCGACCTCGGGAGTCTCTCAGAGTAAACACCTGTCAATCAGCAGCACGTGCTCTCATGCCTGGGTCTGCCAAATGTAAGCCAGGCACGTGGGCAGGTCGCTTAACATGGGCAGAAGCTCAGGCTGCAGGTTTACCCGCAATGGAACCTGGCAACGTCCAGGCCCTAGGCACTGACTTGGGGCAAAATTCGACCAGAGCCAAACCGCACGCACACCTGTCGCCCTCAGCTTGCCTGCAGGATGGTTCGCCCAGACGAGCTCAGAAAGCGCAGGTTCTGAGCCTTGGGTCCACCAGGTCACTGGCAAAGGAAACTGATGGCCCGCACGGCTTGTCAAAATAGGGACTTGGACTCGCAAGATGATTTTTTCCCTTTGGCTAAAAAGGGTACCCTCAAAAAACAGACACACAAACACACTCCCGGACGGAAACGGAGTGAGCTCTTAAAGAGGCAACTGTATTGCTGCTTTCTTCTTAGCAGGGATTCAGCAGGTTTGGCTACACTCTTGCCTTGCCAGGGTCAATGTTGCCTGCCTCTACCAAGGAGCCCATCTGGAAGCGACAACCTCCGGAGTGAAGGACACTAGGAAGACCACGCTCTCGTGGGGCGCAACAGTCAATGGCAGTTGGCAATCAACCACCTGCTCCGCGCAGCACAGCTTTTGCAGGGCACCCCGTCTGCAAATGCGCAATTTCATGGTGGCAAGTGCGCCTCAAAACCAAACGCACTGCAGCCGGGAATGCCGCCAATGTTGATCTGCGTCACCTGAGTAGTGGATCGAGAGCAGGGCTTACTGCACACGCGAACCGAGGGAATTCCAGTAGGCTGGTACACGCCGCATCTGCGGTGCGGGGGCACTGCTATGAACTTGGCCGCCCAACTCTCAAGCAGTCCATTCTCATGATCACCGTGTAAAAAAGTTCAAGAGACAACGCCACGTGTCTCTCTGTGATCCCTTGCAACTCACCCGTGCTAGGCAATCAGCGCGCCAAACTGCCTTAAACTCCAGAATCCACAAGCTAAGATGCCCAGGCCTTGATGCGCACTGCCCTTGCGCGTATCTAACTACTTTGCACCCTTGGTCGCAGGGTTATGTCCCAGCATTCGGGGGCTGGATTCCTTGATTTTACCCTTTACCGCTTGAGCCCCATGTGGTCGAAGCTTTCCCTTGCCAGCGCAGGTGCCGGGCGCGGCCCTTGAATTTGTTGGCTGTGGGAAATTCGGTGAGCCCAAGGTAAAATCGTAGAGCCGCATACTGCATTTGAATCTGATCTCTGCGGGTGGCCTCCACTGGCAGCTCGCAGTCGTTTGTGGCCACGATGCTGCGCTTCACCGCTACCCGCTGCTGGCGCCAGTAGGGCCGTGACCTGAGTGCTTGCGTCAAGACCTTCCGACCGGACTTCCAGGATACCATGCCCATGGCGCAAGGGAGCATGAGGGATTGCCAACTGAAAAGCCCAAAGCAATATATATATATATATATATTTGAAGGACCTCCAGTGCTCAACGCCGAGTCACAGCTTGTAATCTTCACCACTGCCTCAGGAAGAACATGCTGCCAACGCTCAGCCTATTTCGCAGTACGCCTGGACAAAGCCAAGGGACCATCATGCCTCTCATTGGACGTCTTGGACAGAAGCCAATCGGAG